GCAGTTGCTGTACTTGATCGCCTACGCAACGAAGAAGCCGGAGAAGCCTGCGCGAGCAATGTCCAGTGCCAGTCTTGCTACAATGACAATGGATGGATCGCCTGAGGGATGGACCAGGATGTCTAGCTCCGAGTTCCCAATGACACCATCTCCGAAGCGTCCACGTCGCATGTCGGGCAATTGGTCGTGATCAGTGATCATCCATTTTCCTCCTCCCGGTGATTGAGTGAGCCGAGTGAGGTTGCAAAGCAGTAGCCAGCCTTTTGAACCTCTGCAGCAGTGCAGTTTTGGCTTGAGTTTGCAAAAGCTGTTGGTGGGTGCAGTTGGCGCTTTGCTTGAGACTTGAGTGTGCGAGGAACGCAGTGAAAAAAGTGTTGCATGATTCCATCATCCTTGTTGTAGATTGTGGCATTGCGCAGCTCTTGATGGCTTGACTTGATTGTGGTTGTTTGCTTGCGTTGGTTGCCAATTATTGGGGCCCGGGGCATGGCTCCCTGAGGCTAATGTGATGTTTCGATACATGTGTGGTTCGAGTACGAGGTGCCTTGCATAGAATACCCGTGTGCCCACTTTTGTTGCATTTTGTTGTTGTTGTTGTGCCATTTGCGTCCAATCTGGCTTGGTGCAGGCGGTGGCGGTGGTGAACTTCCTGGGCGGATGAGTGATGGCAGCCACTAAGGGTTAAACCCCCGGACCCCGTACTCCCCACCCCGAACCCTACACCCTGAACCATAAACTACACCAACCTTAAACCCTACACGCTCACTCTCAAACTCAAACATCCTACACCCCAAACCCTGGGTCCTTCGCCCCAAGCCCGAAACCTTAAATCCTAAACCAAAAGCCCAACACCCTAACCCCAAACCCTACTTTGCCAGGGAGAGCTTTGCGTGGTGATCCCGTGAAAATCTTATGTTTCAAGGTCCTTTTGTAATACAACAAGTTTCAGAACAGGTGGTTGTTGTAATGTCTGTTTCGCTCAGTGCTGCGCTGAACCAGTCTCACTGCTCAAAGTGGCTGTCAATGAAAATGTGCTCGCAGTGCCTGGCCAGTACCAGGCTACAGAGATATCATAAAAATTGTTGATATCGTTTTGTTTCGTTGCGTGGAAAAATCACCTCATGTCGGCGCAGGGGCCTGAATTTATTGTGCGGAGTGTTTTTTTGAACATGGCGGAATATGGAAACAGGCGCTGCGCTGTTGGTTTAACCATGGGTAGACGCTTGGAAACCTGTGCGGGCGGAGGTTTTCTGTACAGAACATACTGCAAAAATGGGCCTTTAGCGACTCACGCATGTACAATTACACATACGTTGGGAGGAATCCAAACGAGATAGAGGGTGGGGAGATGGAGATGTTCTGCAAGTTTTATCGTCCTCGCACCCCCAGATACATCCACAACAAGCCCCAGTTGGAATGGCTAGACTGCGCTGAGGCCGAATCCTGCCTGTCCTGTGTTTCTTGCAAGTTGACAAACTGACCATGTCCACTGGATTGCCTGGCGCTCAGGTGACCTGATAGCCAGTTTTCCGCCTGACCCTCAGTACAACACGCAACCTCTTGCCCTACACGTGTCAACCACTTGATCCTCAGCGTGATTGAGATGCAACAGCCAAGGAGCAAAAGCCTGATCCCACTTGTGGGAATCTTTTCCTGCATTTCCTCTCCAATATCAATGCCCATATCCTGATCATGCAAGAGACTGGTACTATCCGCCAAAAGGAGAAAGAAGTCATGAAGTGGATGGTTAGTTGCAACCAGCCCGGACACTTCAGTCTCATGTGGAGTCAGAACCAATCCCTGGTCAGGTGCCTATGTCAAGCACATTGCAGGCACACGCACTGTCAAGAGGTACAAGGAATCTCCTCTCTCCTATGGAATGTTCGAAATATGCTTTGGGGATGAACCTCGCCGTGAGGAAGGGGAGAGAATAGGCTTGTCCCACGACAGGGAAGCTCAACGTCAGCTTCTTGACGAGAGTAATCCAAATAAGGAAAAAATTACCACTTGTGGTAGGCATGTTGTCCGTGTCTGCTCATTCCATCTGAACGATGGATATGCCACAGACAGTCCAGCTGTGTGTGGTGAAATGATGTGCTTCATGGTGGCAGATTGTTTCCACTATCAGGTGGACATGTTTGGCGGTGATGGCAACTCCTCCTCAGCCTATCGATTTGGCGGTAGCAAGCAGCGTGCAACTTCCAATGAGCTATCCCTGCTCCAGCAATGCTTCAAGAGCTTCAAGGATGCCTTTTAATCATGTCAAGGGAATGACAGGAATATCAGCCCCAGTTTGAGGCTCACTTCAGGCAACGCCACTGAAGATTTGAGGAACACTACGGTAAGCCATGGCATGAGCTTGATGTTCAGTGTCGCCTGGAAGATCCTGGGGGAGACTGCATGGTCATCGACAAATGGGCCGGCCATCCTGCATCACAATATGCATACAACATCAAGGGCAGCGATTTCTTTATGCATGCAGGAATTGAGATTCTGTCCCCAGGTCCCAGATATAATAATGACAGTCAGACTATCCCGTATTTCAAGAAAATGTAACCTTACAACTGCGCTGGACCGAGAGAAGCTCGTGCCTTTCCCAGTCAAGAAAGAGAGCCTCAGAGGAAAGACAAGAGGCAAATCGACGGAAGGGCAAAGCCAAAGGCAGTTCGAAGGGCCAGGGCAAAGCCAAAGGAACGGGCAAAGGCAAATAAATGTGCCAGTGAGCTATGAACCCAAGGCTTTTTCCAACGAGAAGGTATGGGACTGCTTAGCTCCAAGCAAGGTTCCTGCGTGTGCCCCAGGCGTCTTCCACAAGATGGCAAGGGCTTCTGCACTTACCTCCCTTAGGTTATTCGTTCTGTAAATGTGTTTGTTTCGCACCGAGAGCTAGATAGCCGACCGACGGGACAGTTCTGTAACATGAAAGTAAATTTGTGCCTGATTGAAATAAAGTAGAGTCATGTTGATTGCTATCAGTCCATGTACAGTTCATGTGACACAACCGCATTGTTGTTGTTGCCGCTCTCACTCAAGGAGTTAATGCCCGAGTAGCGCGTAGTGGAAACTGACACTGGTGTGAGTTTGTTCACGCTCGGGCCAATCTCAAAGGAGGGGGGGCGGGGACGGGGTTCGGAGTGGTCAGGGTGGGGGTGGGAGGGGGTCGCGCCGGATTTTCTGGGTTCTTTTTCAGAAGATGTTCACCAGCCACGTGGTCATTTTGAGAGCTTGGAAATCATGAAATTTCGTTGTTGTTCGGTCGGGCTTGACTGGGCCGCCGACCACGGGAGGGGGTCTGTAAAGGGTTTAAAGGGCTCGATCGCCCTAAGGCTAGATCAGCCTCGGCGAATTAGCTTTCCTGCTCAACGGACGCACGGATTCTGACGATGGCTTGAAGTTTGTTTTTTGTGCCACCGTCGTCTCTGCTGAGATGTTTGGGCTCAGAAATAAATACACTGATGCGGGCAGGCATGCTCCCTCCTCCCTCCACACGGGTTGAAAAACCGAGGGTTGGCGTGATTCGATACTTATTCACTTACTCGCACCGTTGTGTGGTTGACTCACTTGCTCGCTGAAATTCCGCTCAGGCACGCCAAAGTCCTTGGAGCAGGATGGGGCCTTGGTTGCCATGACATTGATTTCAACTGCGTGCAAGCCAAGCCCTTTTGTTGATGAGACCCCGCTACGTGGCTCGTAAAAGAGATAGCTGCGCGTTGTCTTGCTTTCTTGAAACATGAGGTTCTGAATGCGCTTCATGAAGCTAGGTGCAAGGATGGGGTCAAGGCAGGGCGTGGGAGCAAATGTGGATTTCGATTTCGTTCTTCTGCCGTGCAGGCAGTTGTTTTGCTCATCCAAGGAGCAAAGGCCAGCATGCTTTACAGAGGCAAATCACGGGACACGATGAATATGTTTTGAAGCTCCGCTCGCCAGGGACCAGTAAATCCTGCAGGGCCAGGCTTCGGAGGATGGGTATCGCCACAGAAGCAGGCCGGTCTCGCTGTATGTGTTCATTCGCCGCGTGTTACGAGCAAGCTAGCAGTGCCAGCATGCAGCTCCCGGACTTGCGATCCCTTGGTGCCGGGTTTGTGTGAGAGATTGCATGATGGTAGAAGAAAGCGGCAGGGGAAGGGCCTGAGCATTCCTAGTCGCCCACAGTCTTGGGCTGCAGTGGGGGCATGTTCATGTAACGTTGGCTGAGCGGTTGGATCAGGCGGATGGGGTGGAGTTCTGATGCCTTGTCCAGTTGCCCACTGTTGAACATCTCACGCTGAATGATTGCCACATCTTCTTGTTGTTGCTGTTGCCGCTTTCGTCCCATCATCTGACGACACTGAACCGCGCCCAAAAGCGGTAAACACAACACGACGATGTAGATTCACGCTTGCTCAGCGACGCGAATCTGTACAACAGCTGCATCTCAGAGCAGTTCCTGGCCTGGCATGGGGCACAGCAATTGTAGGGCAAGTTGCCAAGAAGGCAATGCTTCCCTAACTTCATAACTACGAAGCCGGGTTCTTGCAAGTCTGCATACCTTGCCCTACGCCCTACATGTTCCACAACGTGCTGTTTGCAGGCTGTGGCCAGTGGCACATTCCTCCTCGGCTTGCGAACCCTGGGTCTGCCCTGCGTGCTTGCCTTACTTTTCTTGATGGCAATGTCATGCAACGTAAGCACATCAGTTTTTCGGGAGTTGGTACGTACGAAGTGGCAAGTTGATTTAAGCTCACCTCAGGGAAACATAGGATGGAGCGGCAGCTATCATGGATGATGGCAACCAGAGCGCCCGAGAGCGAGCCAGAGCGAGATAACGAGGGATGGCAACAATGAACACTGACGTGCAGCATTGATGACCATCGGCTCTTGTAACACTCGAATGACATGCAAAGTAACAGTCTGCGACCCCGACGAGCACGATTCATGTGGCTCGTAGGGGCGCATATGACGCGCTGGCATTATGAAGAAAGGCACTCCTAGCCAGCATGAAGCTCACGATGGTTGGCGCTGATGATGCTTCATGAGCATGCAAGATCACGAAAACGGCGACGGTTGCGAAGGTCGAGACCTTACTACAAACCATATGGTGATGGCTGGTATGTTGATGCAAGCGTTTTGAGATCAATCTGACGCTCGAGCTGCGTGCGCGCGGTGGGTGGGGAGGAGAGCTGAGGGGGAGGGCGGCTGGGAGAGATTAGGGCTGGCTGAAGGGAAGAGTAGCTGAAATTCCACCGCCCGAGACCAAAGAGACAGGTGGTTGCTGGAAAGCCCGCATCCAGCAGGCGCAGGGAAAGAGGAGTAGATGGAGATTCGGTGAAATTTTGCCCTACCTCCTACGGCCTGAGGCAATGCTCTTAGGATGCGTTAGGCGACTGAACGCCCTTGGTGTTATTGCGTGCCACAAGCAGAGTGGACCAAGCCGATGCGGGTCCTTCTCGCTATGGAGCCTCGAGACGGTTGGATTGCAACTTGAGTGAATCAGCCAGCAACACTGCAAGGGGGAATTTCAGAACCATCGGGAAATCAAGCATGTTCGCCTATGTTCGCCTGCTTGCATGTCATCGACCTCTCGGATTATCATCCTAAGCTCTCATCGAACATTTCGCGTGGGTCCTGCAAGGAGCGTGCAATCTTGGCAAATTTCTGAGGGAAGGAGACTGAACACTATTTGCATGGCATAGCACTTCCCGGGTATGCCCACCACTGAAGCCCGTGCATCTGAATTGGAAAGTGCAAAAGGCTACTCAGGTTCTTAGGCCTCTGCATGAAGACGGCCTCCTCGCATAGTCCGCATCGCTTCGCGCTTCCTCCCTCTGCAAGGGCAAGGGGTTGTCAGATATCGTAGAAGAGACAGACCTCAGGTGGTCCTTGCAATATGCACCAACAACATCCAACACCTGGTGTCAAAGCTGCTAGCGTTTGCCATTTTTTTCAGCAACGAGCCGAAATTGATGTCCTCAACAGCTGCTTTTCTAATCCCAAGGTTTTTACTTTTAGACTGTGCTAAACCATGTACTAGAACCTCAGAGCATGTTGAATGGGGCAGTTGCCGGTACTCGGCTTGCACATTGCTGCAAGGTGGCTGCTTGCTGCGGAAAAATTGCTGGTCCGGCGTGGGGTTTGGTGCTGGCTACGGACATGGGAACTTGGAAGTGCACAGTTGCGTGCGACTGCAGTATGTCCAGACATGGGGTGAGGGCTTGTTGATTTTGAGAGGATTACAGAATCGTCGCAGCCTCAGAGCGGCTCAGCCGACAAGGTCATCCTTTTTGTGTTTGTGACTGCCCATGCGGAGGCCTCCGCCACTTCCAATTTCATTCTGCCGATTTGGGGGCCTCCTGAGTGCTTTGGGGACTTGGTCGGGCACACGGCAGCAGCCTCAGCGGGCTAATCTGAGCTGGGACAGATATCCGAGTCTCTACGACAATTCATCGGCATCTGCAGATCATGGGAAAATGATAAAGAGTCAAGAAAACGATAACGTAGCAATTCACGGTATCTGATGGGAAAATGAGAAGAGCAACAGAGACTTGATAACGTGTTGCATTGGATAGAAGGCTGGCCTCTAGCTTTTTTTGGCGACGCTCATCTGAGTAGTACTTTATTTGGGGATACTATGGTACTGTGCCGGACGTTTCGTCCGCATGATCGACCAAGGTCCGTGAATACTATGGTACCCAATATAGAGTAAGATTATATCCTTCTTTTGGGGTATAGTATTTCATATAAGGAATATACTTATAATCTTACTGGGTTTAACCACCAAAAAAAGCGCTACTCATCTGATCTTATGCTGCCGCATTTTGCTGCCTGATGCCAGGTTGCCATGCAGCTCTGCTACAACCAGGGTCCTGTGCCTCAGCTGCAGATTGATGCCATGTGCCTGGAACCCATTTCTGTCATGCACAAGAGCATATTCTTCGCGCTTAGAACCCCACATTCGGATGACCATGTTCTTTGGCACTGGCAGCACTTCTCGTCCAGGTGAATGCTCTGACAATGCTCGAGTATGGTGTCATTCACCAATGCCAGCGAGGATTTGGCGTACCGAGAGATGCTCAGTATTTCCGTTTCTGCGCAGCCTGAGGGCCTAAGTAAGGACAGGGCTTGTTGGCAACCGCAACTTTGCCCAAGGCCTTTGCTGTGTCACTTCCGGTGTTTTCGATGAGTACACCAGTAAGTCTGGCCTGTAGGGCTTCAGCAGCATGTCGACACTCAGGACGAAAGATGAAAGAGCCTCACCTGTCTCCCTCACGCCTTCGCTGCTTTGGTGCGTGCCAGTTTTCAAGCAGACCAAAAGCTGGAATGAAACAGCACATAACAGCACGCTGGTCTAAGCTCGTTTTCAGGCTCACAGGTACTTCCTTGCAAACTGTAGGCTCCGAGCGAAGATTTCCTAGTTTTAAAAGAGACGTGGGCAAGGTCGACACATCCCCGTACTGATGGACATGTTCGTGGGAATGATAAGCGCAGTTGAACAGACTGCAACTTCAAAAAGTCATAGGTCAAGCTCAGGGTCTTTGTCCATTGATCCGTTGAAATCTAGTCGTGGCTTTCTGGAACGCAGCCCATCACTCGCAGTCTTACCAATTCTCAGCACTGTTCACGTTGGATGCATGCATCGATTGCAGGAGATGAGGACACCAAGAAAGCTGCGACTGAAGTGGCGAGGAGTGGTTTGTCGCTTTGCTGATCAAAGGACGCAGCAAGATGTTCAGCGCTGCCTTGAGGAGGATAGCCTCAACACCCACCCTGGCTTCTGGGCTGCACACAGTAAGGATAAATGGCCAACCCCAGCAATTCAGTCCCAGCAGTTCATGACACTGCGTACTACATTGACACCTGCCCACGGAAGCAAATTGACGGTGTCTTTCCTACGATGCGTTATCTGACAGGTGTAAGAAGGCTAAGAGTAGCAGCGGAGTCAAGTTGCCGTAATTTGTGCTGCAGGGGGGTGTCTTGTAACAGTATCTTGTATGTGCAGAGACAGAGCAGAAGTTGCATTGACTCATCCTCGTGAGCAGCAGACAAAGAGCAGGGATGCACATTGCTGCGTTAGCTCCGGTTCTATTCCCCTTCTTGGCAGATTGCAATAATGGTAATGGAGGCTTGCCATCAAGCCACGACAATGCTCAGCCCTGCCATCGAAAAGTACGCCTCCATTGTTGCACGTGGAGGAGGGGAAATCCTGGGCGACTGATTTGGATTGCTTTTGGCTCACTCTGCAGGACTGCGAGCTTAGCACCGCTACGTGGTCAAGTTGACGGCAGGCAGGGTCTGGCAGACACTACTCTGTGAACCGAGCCATGCAAAAAGCTGGTAAACTTGGTAAGCCTGGTAAGCACAAGCCTTGCTGATCACCAGCAAGCAGCCGAGCCTGCGACCGTCCGCTTGCTGAGGCTCTGTCCCAATCAGCTGACTGAAATGCTCTTCCCGCCTCATCTTCTCACACATTCTCACACGTACCCTGGCACTTCTTGTCCAACACCTTGGCGCGTTTCTAGACTACAGCAAGTCTGTAAATCAATGATCCTTGCTAGGAATGGCTGATGATTTGAAGTGAGCCTTCATGTTCTACTGGGGACCATTTCGAGAACAGGATCAAACTACGAACGCTGAGTCACGGCATCCTCTTCATATATATATATACATATTCAACATGATAGTTGCTGGTCTTCTGCATCTTTGGGCCGCGTGGGAAAGATGTATCCGAAAAACAGATGTCTTGCAGCATTTACAACATGTTTTGTTGCCGGTGACAACCACAGCTTGCAACAGGAATTGCCAGCGGAAACGGCGATTTTGTCAGCTTGCATCTGGCTCGAACACGGAGTCTCTAACAATGGTACATGCTGCATAGTCCCGACACACATGAGCACCAGGCACAGCAGCCAAGTTGACAGAAAAGTGTTCATGCAACTTCCACGAGTATCGGGGGCTAAGGACGATTGCAGGTCCTGTCCAGCTGATTCTGCATGTTCCCGAGGCCGCCTCGATGTTAGGCGATGATGCGCCTAAGCCGGCATAATCCGGCTTAGCTTGGCTCAAGCTTCCCATCATGAAATGGATCAAGTACGTCCCTGGATTGAATGTTCTATATGACATCTTCTTCAACGGCACGCCATCACTTGAGGCGATCAAAGACTCCCTCAATGTGCAGGCCCTCCTGAGCGCACTGCTCATAGCAATTGTGATCTCCTTCCCTGGAGCCTTCGAGCACGACGAGTTGAAAGAGGCCGCTTAAGGGGGGTTCTGCAATCAAGACACGCCCCAGCCAAGACGTTTAAGGACTCTCATCTCCTTGGGTTCTCCATGCTTCAATTGTGGTTTCCATGGTAGCTGAGGCAAGCACTCGGCTTTCAAAGTGCCTGTTTTCATCCAACCCGGACCCCTTGGCGGCGTCCGACCTTCTGAAACGGGAAGTCTTCTGGTCAAGTCTCTTCCTGAGCAACAATGTCTTGATGGTGGTCATGGTGTACCTGTCCTTGGCAGGATTGAAGCTACAGGCGAACAATGCAGAGGAGCGCTTTAAAGCCTGGTACTTCTACGCGCGTTTCCTGCTGTTTTTCATGACGATGTTCATGATGGCAGGCGGGGCTGCCTGAATTGAACAACGCTTGAACACGCATTGTCTAGCAAGAACTTGCCACACTGCACGTTGGCGGGCTGGCTTCAAAGTCTTGATTTAGATCGCGGCTTCCTATCCCATGAACTTGCCATCCCTAGCTTTGGCTTCCTTCTCTACCTCCATTACTCTTTGTCGAATCCCCCCGCATAGTCCCTGCTTCAAGGCAGTATGCTTGTTGGCCAGGTCGATTTCAAAAAATGTGCATCCCCTACCCTGGCTTACCCTTTAACCCCTCCTCTCCTCAATCCACTCCGACAAACAGCCTTTCCTGCCTTTTCTTCTGCTCAGGTGTCTTGACCTTCGGCCGGTGCACGTACTTCATGTTCATCCTCAAGTTCCCAGTGTCGGGTGACCATGAGAACTGCACCAATGCAGAGACAGCCGACACCTCCCCCTTTGTCTTTTTGAGGGACGTGGGCAATGTCATCTGGCTTGGGACCATGGCCTCCACAGTGCTGATCCTCAGCTGTACCCATTTCTCGCAGCTTCGGATGGACGAGAAGCAGCCGCATCCGATGCCAATTACGCGGATTGTGCCACGGCCGGCCGAGGAACGATGAGAGGGAGATCCTATCACAGTGCCATATACATGGGGCATCATGGGGCTATTGGATGAAACAAAATCCGGGCGAAGCACCTCCGCATGAGATGCGGGGACAAAACGGCCAACAAATCCATGAAGGATGCTGACATGGGCACGTGCTAAAAGTGTTGCCCCCGGACATCGCCAGACAGATGTTCTCAACGACTTTCTGCTCGCAAAAGATTCTCGTGAACTTCCCAGGGATGCCTTGAATCAACAGAAGATGTCACCGTAACGCACAAACTCTCGAGATGAAATAATTACACAAATGAAACCTCACGTATTAAGATACATGTTTAAAACACAATAAGATAAGATTTCTCGAATTGCTAGGGTTTGGGGTATTATTAGGGTTTAAGGTTTAGGAGTGGGTTTAGGGTTCAGGGTTTAAGGTTTAAGGGTTTAGGGATTTGGGTTTAGGGTTGCTGTCATGGCTAGTGCTTGCAAACGCTTTCTTCTCTAGGCATTTGCCAAGCTGGTTTGGGAAGCCTTTCCTGCCTGGTACTTTGTTGTCTAACCCTTCCCAAGCGAGGTTTGTCAACAAGCTGAGCGAATATTTGATTTCTTGGAGGTTGGCTCTGCATATCCAGGGCTGATACGGGGTATAGGCAACATGAGTTTAAAGCATGATCCCTCAGCATGCAACGGCTACTACATTGTGAACCTTTGACGAGGCTGCATTCAATACAGACGAGGCCCTAGATATGGAGATGACGCAATATGCGGGGTATACATTCTGGATGTTCAAGCGTGCAGTCAGGAAATTAAGCCTCAGACATACACCTCTAACACAAACTGAATTGCAACCCGACTCCAAAACTCATTGCTTCCATGATATTCGCGTGGAGCTCGGCAGCTAGAACATCATCCAGCACAGGCGGGGCCGTACTGCAATTGCATAATTGCGGAAGAAGAGGAAAATTGGACAGAGAAAAGACAAGAAAAG